GCTACTTTGCAGTTAGCAAGGCGTGAAATGAGTTCTGGAGTTCACAACTTCCACATGACAATTACCCCACTCTAAATCTATGCCCATTATTGGGTAGTGTTTATGGTGCCTCAGATGTTTTTATATTTTGCCCAGGAAGTGCTAAATTTTTGACTGACTAAGTCATAAGTCCTCAATTCACTCATTAATTTGAGGTGCTTGTTTCAAATGATCTAGCTTCGTTGACGTCCTACTGATCTTCACTTTCTTGCGCTTCAAAGCCATAGCTTACTAGATTGGGGGTTTTGGCTGTTCATAGCAACTGACTTGATTACGGCAATCATCTCAATATATTCAGGCTGATGACTCTGTAATCATTGAGCTGAATGATGCATTACCAACGCAGTCTTTCCATCCAGTCAACAGCCGAGCGACATGTGAGCACGTAGGAAAGCGGGTCAGTTTTCCTCGGTTCGAAGTTCAAGGGAAAAGTGAGTACAACGAGCGATTTCCAGCTTGCTGAACTACAATTAGAGCGTATCGCTTTAATCGAACGTTGTCTAAGTGAAAATCAGCAACGGGAGAAGTCCGTGCCTGAAGGAACCATGGAGGCTCGGTTACTGCGAAATACGGTGGGAATTAGCTCAACGCTCTTCGGTTTTTTGGCTTTTTATTTGGTATTTGCTAAGGGTACTTGCGACGTTCTCCTTATACTCCAGTCACCGTTTTATTGAGTTTTCTCCGATTGTATTGGTTAGAAAGTCGTGAACATTTTGTAGCATGGAGCAAATTGATAGCTGTAAATTGGGCTACTATAAAAATAAACAGGTATGCATGCTCGCAGGTAAACATAGAATCTTCTTGCGAACTCTCCAATAGCTAGAATAAGAAATGAGCTCGCAGACATGTTCGTAATAACTGGTTCTTGTATAAAGGGATGCAAATTTCAAGGAGTGATTATGTAACTCTGGTGTACAGCTTACGGCACATGGTGTCCACACAGAAGAAAGCCGTTTAATTTCTTCGGCATTTTCTTGAGTTTTGGAAGTGTGTGTAAATATTTTCTATTTTTCATAATACCTCTAAACCACACTTTGGATTCGGTAAAACTCTATCTCCTTTGCGAAAACTCAATAGTAAAGCAATCAGTACTGCATTTGGAACATCGTTCAACTTTCGAATATCGGTTTTGTTGCTTCTTTTCATAATGGGGTTGCTCGCAATCCTTCGCACTCTACAAAGTTACCCCCCCCCCCACTATTCTTTGAAAACATTTGGTTGCTAGTCATTAATGCCCTCAGTGGGCTTTTTAGAGCAGCAATCAACGCCCTGCGCTATAGCTATCCCATTTAGTGGTTAATTCGATCTAAGATTTGATTCTAGATTGAGCACCCGCTTGTCCACAATACACATGCTACAGAGGGTTTGCTTTGATTCCATTCGCTCTTTTTTCTTCACACTTAGCATCCGCAATTTCAAGATGAAGTGGCTACCCGCGTCTTGCTATAGCCGAAGGTGACTGAAAGTAAGCTCTCCTGTAATACAGACGTGCTCTGAATTTGTCCTATTTTTTATGCGCTCAATAGTGACTTAGAACATACACATGATCCTTCATAATGCTTGTCGGCATTGTTATTCAGATTCGCCAAATACGTGCCGAATTCGAGGTGGAAGATATAATTGGGGCCCGTACACGCAAAGCTGTTGATGAACGATGTGGAAAGATCTTCTAAATCTCGGTTCTATTCTTTGCATGTTGTATTTTTAATGATAGATCCTTAGGGTAGGAAACCGGTTCGATGCTCACACCATTAGATGTTATTTTAATTGACGCATTTTCACTAGGAATGTTACATTGTTATCGTCTTTCTTTTGATGATAATCTATTATGTATTGTTGATAAATTTGTTATTTTTGTCTACTTGATGCCTCTGTTATAGTAAGTACTCTAAGACATTGACGACAGTGAGATGCGGCTGGCTCTCACCCTTGTCTTACCTTTTTCCAGCGCATGCGCGGCTTCTTCCCCATTTCTTCTTATTGATTCTGTA